GAGCGGCATCAGTGAACTCTATGCAACGATAAATCCTGACAAACGTCCGCCCTATGTTAGCTTGAAGCCAAAATATTTTTTTGAGTTTTGAGACGAAATACTTGATGCTAGACGTTAGAAGAATTGGATTAAAGAATAATTAAAGCTATTGAAAAGTTACACTTTGGTGTGGAAATTTAAAGACTAAGACTAAAACTACACAAAGCAAATGTTTTAAAAAATCCAATTACCAACCGGCAAAAAACTGGGAAGTTTTCAAATAGTTTTTAGATATTTCGCTTTAAGCTAAAATCTCGAAATTTCTACACCAAATATAACATTTTAATGTCTTCAATTTCATATACAGCTCAACATTTGGCGTTTTTCAGCTCAAAGCTGAAAAAGGAAACAGCACTGGCTTCAATCCCCCCCCCCCCTCCGAGTTATGGTTCCAATTCGTTGACAGTTCAATGGTAGGCATCATGATATTTTTCTCACAGTCAAAGCGGATGTTCTCTTACGAGAACATTGCAATACTGCAATTTTGATTAGCAAGTCGTTTTAAATAGTAGCAACCGTAGCCAGCGATTGCGCGCTTTCAAATCTAGGATATAAGTAGCAAAACATAGCACATCAACTTGAAAGTGCAGACTGATTGTGTAGAATAACACATATCTACCTTCCTGAGTCCAGAAACGACCCTGCCTGTTAAATAAGGATCGAAACCACGACCTATTTCTACACCTGCAGTTGTCGAATTTGCTGAATATATTAAAACAAGAAAACCGAGAAGTTATGCTTCAGACTCATCGATAAACAGTCATTTATCGAACATGAAATCTGTCCTACAAATAACGTTCCGGCAAGGTCAACTACTGGCGATATTTTAATATTATATCAATACTGATTACTGATCATTTGCAATGCGAGCGACAGTTGCTAATTGCTCAGATAAACTTGCCAATTGAACTTGCGACATTGCATCACAATATTTTGGCAATCCTAAGAGTTTAATTTCGAATTGACCCGGTTACCTCAAGCTTCACTCCTTGTTCAACGTTTTTCATAAAGAAGGACAATTCAATTTCATACAGATAAATTTAACATTTAAACTCTATTCTATAGTTTTGACGCATAATTACATCGTAAAAATGCACTTTACGTACGTCCTCTAAAAGATGAGTTTTTAGTGCTTGCATGTTGAAGTATTATTTTTTAAGTTTCAAAAAACTGCGTGTTCACTTGCGTGAATAAACTGGGCATCACCCCAAGATTTGGCTTCAAATATCCGGCCGGAGATTACCTTCCTGTTCTTTTGAGATTAATGGATTTTACAATGCAAACTATAACGATATTAAGAAAATAATGTTTTAAAGTTACTCCCTGGAGTTTTGTAAAAATTCTAGATAGCAGATTTGTTGTACCGAATTAAACAATATTGTGGACTAAAGTTCAATAATACTTTTTATTATATTGTACAGTACGTTAGAGATGAGAAACTGTTGACGGATTAACTATGAAAGCCGTTGCTATGGAAACAGTGGGTTTTCAGCATGGCCGCCAATTATAATTTTATTGAGATCATTTCGTGAATTCTTCAGTGAATTCTCTTTTTTTCTCCGAATGCTTTGCAAGTCATATAGTAAACGACCGGACAATTTCAAAAAAAGTTATCGATAGATTTTTTTTTATTTGCGTAAAACCACATTTTCACACTTTATCAGTTCTTTTGTTTGTCGATAACTTTTCTTAAAATTGTCCTGTCAATTACTAACCATCTGGTATAACGTTCAGTGGAAAAAAAAGATATTTGACCGAGGAGTTTGTGAAATAATTGTAATTTAATGATAATTGGTGGGCAAATTGAAACGTAATTGACAATAGACAATAGATTACAGTTATAGCTCCCTGCTTGTGGAGGATCGTGGGCTCGGGGAAGAGATTGTACTAGCAAGAGAAAGCAAAAGTTTTTGAGCACGTTTTCTGGCTTGAAATGCTTCCACATAATCCTCAAAACGAAAGCCTGAACAGCACGTATGTAACAGTAGACTAGCAATATTATTAATGACGTGTTAAAGAAATTTACATTGAAGAAGCAATATCAGAACAATCAAACTAAATGCATCTTGTAGCGATATTAAGGCCGTCTTCCACTTCAACCGTATCGTAGCGAAACGTAGCGAATATCATTGTTTTATACGATTGAAGTGGAAAACAGGCCTTAGTGACAATGCGAAAGTATTTTGCGTAAGCTCTCATGGACTTATCCAAACGTATGACGTATGGCAATATCAGAGATAGGGAACAAAAACATCGCATTTTGGTCGCGTCTAATGCAATTTTGCAACTTCAATTTGCATGTTCATGTTATGAGTCATGTTTCATATTGAAATATCTTTAACGAAGACACTTAATGCACGTGCTCAGTTACTCAGTAGGAATAAACTTATGCGAGTATTAAATTTGAATTAAACTCGATATCAGGGAAATGCACTCAAGTTCACAGTAAAAGCTGAAACCTATAATTTTTTAACTAATCAAGATTTACTAATCAGGAAAAATGCTTATTTTCCTTCCTATAAATGGGCCGCGCCATTGTCCTATTATATAGAGAGACCTTACGATTTAAACGCCAACTGCAAGTAACGCCAATTTTACTGTACTGAGATCGTGTGAACAGCTCCTTAAAGACTGCGACGTTCTGCATAAAACGACAAATCACACCTCGTGATGTCCCTCTGAAATACGTTGACGTTTCGAGAGGACCTCAAGTGTTCAGTCTACCTACGTCCGAGGGTAGCGCTAGACAGGCGTATATAACAAAGTCTGTCAGGAAACTTAATAAATTGGTGTTAAGTCGGTCTATTTGCGCTGGACTGTTGGGCAATTTTTTGCTGAGATCAGTTATTGGTACCATCTGAGAAATCTTGCGGCAATAGTTCCAAAGCATTTATAAATAATGTAATTTGATAGAATCTGATGAGAATCACTTGCTCTGAGGGGCGGATCTAGATTTTCTATGCATGCTAGTCAAAATTTTCCCATGTCAATACTAGGGAGTATGAAGAATTTTTGCGCCGCCCTCCCGCCTTTAAATTTATGAGTATTGTTGCGGTGTCTCGAAAATTGAATGTTTAATAAAAAGGGACATTTTGTGAATATAAATTGCTTTGTTTTCACAACAATCCTTGTCAAGTGTCAACTGTAGAAATTTCCCCCTTCCCACAGACTTGTCAAGAAATTTTCAACATATATTGTCGATTGTCATGTGAAATTTTACGGCATACTTTATCATGCTGAACTTGGTGAAAGCAAAATTGCATCATAGCTGAAACACGCGGTCCACATTACAAGCATTAATATATATACTTAGTTGACTCGACATAATGTCTATTATTTCTATGGTGTATAATACTCAGACATAACATGATTTTACATTTTACAAATATATAAAACTTTCTAAATCTATTACACTGTTAAATAGTACAGAAATATTGTACAGCAGCTCACGCTCAGCCAATACGAATAAACAATATGAAATGAGAATACGAACGGCTCGAAATTCTAAATAATTTTGACCGTTTTGACCGACGGCGGGCGAATGTAAATAAATGCTATTATCATTCAAGTTATTGTTTTCTCAATTTTGATTGGTTAATTTACCTGCACGATCTTCGCCGTCAGATCGCAAAACAACGTCAAGCTAGGAGGAACTCGTTGCCTCTACGAACTTGTTGAGATCGAGCATGAGTGAAGAGCAGATTCGAGCAAATGACCTCGCCCAGTTGAAAGGATTCTCAGCTTGGCTAACAGCTCTGCCATGCACTTGATGAGAGTTACATCCTGACCAAGCGTGAGTTCTTTGATGCAATCTACAAGCGTTGTCGATGGCCTTTTAGACGCCTTCCATCTTTCTGTGCCTGTGGAAAAGGTGGATCATGGCCTGTCGTGCCTGAAAGTCATCATCTGTCGAAGACATGATGAGATTCGTGATATACTTGCTGCTGCTATCGATGACCTGGCTTACCACGTTTCAATTGAACCTGCTTTTGCTCCTTTGACAGGTTCTTCCATCCAGTGCTAATTTAGCCGATGACGCCAGAGTGGACATTGCTGCGAGAGGTATTTGGCAGAGATGTGAAAAGGCATCGACGCCAGGTAATTACCATCGGCATTATGTCAGCTGCCTCTGTAGCTCAGTGCAAAGAGAATTGCACCGGCATCGATCGCAAAAGCGTATAATTGACTCCTTTTTTTAACTGTTCTTGAATTTGAAGTGTGTATAATTCCACTCGAAATTAAGACCCTTTAATTAAACCACTAGAATTTATCTGCATTGAGTGAAGAGCCAAAAATCATAATTAGTTTTAATGCATGATCGATTATTAATTATAGTTATATTAAAATAATTGATTTAATTATGAGCATTTTTTCATTTACTGCAGTTGAATAACTGCGTAAAGATAATAGTCTCATTATGCATGCTTTTGTTAAAAACGTTGCTCAGCTAGAAATACTACTCTGAGCATGCACATTGGCTTCAATTTTGTAAACAATGGCGACTGGCTTTGCTAAATTTTCAGACGAAGAGAAAAGAGAAAAAACGATCTAGTGAGCTCAAAAGAAACTTTGCCAATGTCCTTCGCAAGTTTTATGGTGAAGCAAGAAAGAAAGACAGCGAACTTTACTGTAAATCTTCATGATCGGAATTCGCTTTAGTTACAATGTGATAATAATGATATTAATGATAAAACGAAGCTTGATAAGTGAATGATAAAACAATTATTGAACTCGGTTCTCGCAAAATATCGTCTGCTTGCCACCGACAAATCACGTTATTTTGCTTGACCTCGTCCAATATTCGATTATTATTATGTATTGTAGTAAATAAATAAAATAATAGTTGTCAGTTAAATCGCGTAATAAGGCAAAATTCAGTTATCTGCTAGCAGATGCTTTACACAAATACAATGCTTTAGATCAATCACAATTAATTTATTGTTTACCTATAATGGACCATACATAAAGTATACATTTATAAAGAAGCGCACATAATTGTTATAACTATAATAGCTGTTTTATGTCAAAGAATGCATGCGTATATTAGCTAAATACACGCGTACTGTACGAACTGAAAATCTTTACAAGGCGTTAGTCTGTCACTAGTCATACCAAAAGTGGACAATGTTCTTCAACAGACACGAGACTGTCATCTTGACAGCATATCATGCTACCAGTATCGTAGTATTTTGTGCCACAACACATGTGATCAGGTTTCTTAAGATAAGCCTCGCCACAACAGCAAATGTAAGTGGCTGGATCATAGGCAGTTCTGCCGCAATAATGTCCTAAAAATATAAACGTGAAAATTACTGAGATTTGTATAACTATTTAGCATGCACGTGAGTGTTTGTTTCCACTTCCATACTGCAGTACAAAACGTTTGGCGCAAAATCAATGGATATATCAATTCAAGTTCTTTTCAAGTCCCCCACACAGAGCTTGCACTCTTTATAGAAATATTATATGGCGTAGCCATTGTCCTATACCTGTCACAATAATGTTCACAACACATTCCATGTAAAAGGTTTGAAATTTGGTGCTGTGTTTGTACTTGTAAACGAGGTCGTGTCTACCGACCGAGAAATCTCCACTCGTAGTGTTTGGGTTGTCTGTATCACCTGTAGTTGGGCAACTAGGCTTAGGTTCCAACCAACTGACAGAGGCTTTTTTCTGCCCGGGTTGTACTTGAGCTTTTTCCGGCGGTGTGCTTGGACATTCGCATGCTAAAGAAAACAAAATATTCTTATTACATCAAAAGGTCTATGTTCCTTAACAATTTATTATTAAATAACCGAAAGTAAAGAGTATTTAGTAAAGTAACAAATGAGAAACCTTCCGTAAAAAAACGAAGAGTTTTCCTATGATAACCCAATAACTTAAAGGTTTTCAAATATTGGTACGACTTGAGATAGAATGTGTTTCTCATTCCCTTCCTCTCTGGTTATGCATGCTCTATAGCTGGAGATGATTTTGAGGTATTAAAATGGGGCTTTCATTTCGGGCAGAGCACATCATTTCCTCGCGATGACTTTTCCGCAAGTTTCCCGTTTTAGTCTTGAGATCTGTAATTTGGCTTTTCTGTTGCCTTTTTTGAGATTTGTAATTTGGCTTTCCTGTTAAATTGCCTAATGACATATCTGCAACTAATTCATCTGCATGGTTTATTTGTGAAAATATTCGTTCTTCAAATATTTACGCGTTATTCCTGCGTTTTTCTCATCATTTTAGGCCGATTTATATTACTATGATTTTAACTTGTTTTATGTGACAGTATACATTATAGCTATAAAAACTTACCACCAACATTGACTCTAAATAGACATTCCACGCTTTCCCACTTTTTATCATTATCTTTGTACTTAAAATTGAAAGTAATGTTCTGCTTTCCGCGGCCAAACCGATGTGGATTTTTAATGTTAGGTGGTCTCACGGTAGTCTCATTTTCAACTCTCTGGTCACACCTCAATCGAGGTTTATCCCATGGCAATAGTATTGTATCTTCACCCGGCCTGGTGTACTGCTCCGTTGAAATCTCACCTTCGCATGAACAACCCACTGACAAATCGAATTAAGATAATCACAATTTAGTATTAACCTATATAACGAAGGCGTATTGTGCGTTCTGCTAGACCACCTAGCTTATTATAATGATTGTCCACTAGCACTTAGTTAACTATAAAATACTATATTTAAAAATTCAACTCAAGTATAATTCAGTCTTTGTCTCGAGGCCGAAGGCCGGGGGACGTTTTTGAGACCGAGGGAAATATTTCCGACTAAACTGGTAAATAATAGATTTTTTTGTGGCGGTCCGAATTCATATTTTAGCGTTGGCTCTGTGCTTTTAAATCTCGCGCGGTCCGTACGGCCTCATACGTTCCGCTCGCGTAGCCAATCAGATTGCATGCAGGAAAGTCAAAACTATGAATTCGCGGACCGCAAGAAAAAAAAAACTGCTTTATGCAGTATGGTCATCAGACCATTGGCCGCCTTCGTCTAAAACATAACGGGGTCGTAAGAATACAAAAGAACACTGTGCGCAAAAGTTAAAAACATTACATGGCAAATAGGTTTGATTAAGGAATTAGGAGAGGTGGTCAACAAAATAATGATGTGATATTATTAAAAGTAAGTAAGGCTTTTTACCAGGATCGTTACATGACTCATTGACGATTCGTGTAAGAACTTTTTCCAATTCGTTAAACGCTGAAGTAAACATATGGTTCGACCAAGAAGCAATATTTTTCGCGAATTCGGGCTTATCCGCTTCTCTCCCCACTGCCAAAGCAACGATAGTCACGTTCCTTGCCATCAGCTCTGCCGAGTATTTATTGGCCATTTCATATTGTTCTCTAGTCCCAGCCTTCTTGTTTGCTCTCGGTTCTCCATCGGTGAATAACAAAGCAACGTCTTTTATATCTTTGCGATGATTTAGTGGACTTCGTAAACGAAACTCCTTTAATTAAAGATTTAGAAGGTAATTTCGGTTCTCCGTAACAACATATTGTACACTTAATGTATGCTCCCGAGGGAAATAGTGAGTTTTGTTTTCCCAAGAGTCTAAATGTTGAGAAACACTGAGACTCGAGGGAAAACAAAACTCGCTATTTCCCGAAGTAGTGTACATTAAGTGTTTTGTTATATTGGAACAGAAACATACATGTTACATGCACGACAATTTCATTTAAAAGAACACTTTACTTTGTTGTGACAAGAAGCAGGCAAAAAATTTTCCACTTGTTTCCCTCAAATTTCTCTCGTGTGCGGATAGTTTTTGGGCTGAGCTAACTGCATCGCGAGGTCATCAGCTCAGCTGATAGCTCTCGTGTGCGGCGGGCTATAGGGCCTGTTAACATGGAGCGAGATATCAAGGCTAGGCGAGGTGAAAACTGCATTGTAATGAAAGACTAATCAGGTTAAGCCTTTGATGTTATGCCCTTTTTACCTCGCCTAGCCGGGATAACTCGCTCCCTGTAAGAAGGCCCTTAAAAAGACGGGGAATACAATTTATCTTCGATGTTCGGTTTGAAGAAACTTCATTGAGCCAAAAAGGAGTTCACCTAATTAAACGTTGAAATTGGTCCTTAATTGCCCCCAACCTTCGGGACCGCATCTTTAGTTAATAGCATATAAACACTTGCTATAACACATTTAAGTCCATCAGTCCTGAAGTATATTAATGATGTTTTTAAGCGCGTTTTTAGGTTAATTGAATTCTACAGGTTCGGTTTTACTTACAGTACTTGCAAGTTCGAATGCTTTACCCGTGTAGGTATAGTCGCCAATCAAATCTCTTTCATAATTTAGCCCATTCAGCCAAGATAACAAATCTTTCTTGTCCGTTTTCGACCCAATCTTCAACAAATTCTCAGTCTTCTCCTCACTGGCGAAAGTTATAAAACCCATATGCGTGCCATCTTCTCCCACATTGAGTTTTTCATTTTGAATTAACTTTCTTAGGAAAGGCCGTACATTATCCAAGAAGTTATTGGTGCCAACAGATGCGGAATTATCCCAGATCACTAGCATGTCTCTTATGCATTCTGAAGTCAAAATATGGTCACAAGTTCATAAAGTAATGCAAGATATGTATCCATGTAAATCTAAGTCGTGTTATAACGAACATGAGGTAAATAGGAAAACAAAAGGTTAATGAGTTATGTATGAAAATTTATCCATGAGCGTAGAAGAAACGCTAGTATCGACTTATTTCTAGCCTTAAATTGATATATTCAACTATAAGAATTGGACATTATATCAAAATTTTCAGCTTTCTTGCAGTAAATTTAAATAACTTCATTTGAGTTCAGTATTACCGGCAACCGTGTCATTTGATGTGCGAGGAAAAATTTTCACCTGTTATTATTAACTGATAACAGACAAGTAGATGTGCATTATTAGCCATTATTTCCTGTACATTTACCATCTACCATTTTTGTTCAAAAAACCTGAGATCTCATTGATGAGCACTGGGTTTCTTATCATTAGTTCTCAAACACGCACATGCATGCATCCCCTTAAATTTTCCTGTGCAATTACTGCCAGTTCAGTAACAATTACTGATTATACATACCTTTTTTAGTTGAAGGGGTGGTGGGAACAGACGGAGTCCCTCGACGCCAGAGACGAGAATCTGTTTTAGGAGAGAAAGATCATAGAACATAGAACAACTGGATAAATATCGTAATTTGTTCTTCGTTAAGGTAAAGTGCATTCAGGTAAGTGCAAATTGCACATTTTTTTCTTTACCATGACATCCAGTTTATGAATGAAATATAAAATTGCAGATTTTCTACATACGAGGTGTTCCAATAAAGAAATGAAACCCGCATAAGTTAATTATATTTTCGCTATGATTATATTCATATTCACGTATTATTTTTTATTGTAGTTTAAAATTTTGCATGCTATGCCTCCGGGAGTCAAAATTTTTAAACTGGTGTAAAAATAATTACGACAATGAGAATATGATTATCGCGAATATAATGCATATAATTAATATACGCGGGCTCAGGTTTCACTGGGGCACCCAATAGTATATTCATGCGTCGAACTTTAGTACCAAAGATGGGAGCCCAAAACAAGCAGTGTTACTTGTTATCCATCATGCAGCTTCCCAAATTGGGAAAACACAATTTGAACAAATAAATCAAATATAAAATCTGCTGTGTTCATAATATTAGTCATGAACCAGGGCTTAAGAAATAAAGCAAGCACCATAACGTAGCTTGCTTGCTGAATAATATACTTAAAAATGGCTCTAAAATAATAAAGGCATGGTTATGTGCGTTCGTCCGGGCATAAGGGTGGAGAAGTATTCCATTATATAAACATATAAGCACCATTTTAGAGTTTTCTTTTAACAAAAAGAAATTCGTATTAGCAAAACATGCTTGCGAGCATGCATCTTCTCAAAATATCTTACGATTATACACTCAGACTTTCGGAATGACTGAAGCTTATATAGAGAATAATACATGGCTGCGAGGAAATATGGTATTTATTTCAAGTGTTGAGAATGATATCGAACGAGTGGGTGCAGCGAACGAATGAAATATCTTTCTCAACACGAGGAATAGATTCCATATTTCCAAGCATTCATGTATTATTCTGCATGCTTATTAAACCACCCTTGAACGCAGTTGATTACAGGGATTTCACAAAAAAAATGTTTGCTGTAGGCTATTTTACCCCTATTTATTGCAGTTAATAACACATGTGCGATTATCGTGTTTGATCCACTGATCTGGGATCAGGAAGGGGGATAAAAACTTAAAAAAACCCCAGTTTTTTATTATATAATGTGCGGATATCGGAGCTAGGGCTTTTGTACACTTGAGCAGTTATGTACTTCTGAGTTTGTATTTCATGCCAGCCTTAGATTACGTTGCGTCAAGGCCCTATATATGGTGACATATCATTCAATACTACATACCATCCAGTTCATCATATAGCCCCATAGCAAAACCATTGTGAACAAAATTGAGAAGTATCAGCCAAAGCTTCATCTTCAGTACGGATTCAAAATTTTAGAGAATCTTCTTTTGAAAGAGTTCTGTTCCTCGCTCTTCTTTGAATAGCACATTTCGTTAGCAGGCCAGCATATTTATACTCCTCTATGGCATCACAATCGACCGTTACTAAAATTTGAACCATATTTCGTATTGAAACCACACCCCATTATTGTGTGAAGCAGTCCACTTGCCCGATCCTTGTGGCTTCTCAAAGACAGTTAAGTATCGGATCGCGTCGTTGGATAAAAAGAATTGCAGCGGAAAAGCTACTCGAATTGTGTGTGAAAGATTATTGTACCTTTTTGGAAAAATCTACTAAAATAGTAGCGGCACAATTCTTGTATAAAGTTTCATCTTAATACCATGGCGACGTATCCTATATCCATGAATTTTGATTCCAGAATATTGTCAATTTTACAATACCTTTGTTATAAATAATTAAATATTTTCGCTCTCCGTGATATGAACTATGTTTGTATAAGTGTGAAGAGGGATCTAGAAGATTTGTAGTGATTTTATTTTAGAATGAAGATCCTTTCAAAACGTTCTAATTAAAGGGAAAGCACAATATGATGGCTTCAAATCCCTAAATGCATGGAGATTACATGAAGGTTTGCATGTTTTAAACCTGTGTCAGGGCCACCATCGCGTGCTGGGAATCATGATCGTATTGATTCATTCATTTCCCCTGAATGAATTACACGCATCGTGATTGTCCGTTGGTGTTGCTATAATTGACGCAAAGAAGAGGCATAAATGTGTCGTGGGAAAAATAAGCTAAATTTCACAGCAGTTATAAAATGATCTCAATTCTGTAAAATTATTTGGGAATTAAAGCAGTAAGTGAACGTGCACTTATTCATATTTTCAATAATATAATTTACTAAACAGAATCCTGTATTTCGGAGTTAACATTGATTCAGACGTAGGCGTAACTTTTTTTCTAATGCAATTTGAGAAGAGTTCGTTGATATATTAGCCTAATATTGAATAATTCAGGTTCTTTGATCGGTTGAGAAGGCACCCCAACTGTATATGCATGTGCCAAGGTTTCAACATTCAAGTTCAATAGGACGTGCGTTCTTTATATCATTCTTTTAAGGGTATTTCACTTGTAGTTATCGATTCATTTGAATTATTTCGACACGGTGTATGAAAGAGTGCGAAACATCCGGAAATGGCGCTTCTCAAACTTTGGTATTTCGGGCGATAGAATCAGTGATGAAGTGGTTCATGTTAGAACGCAAAACAACAAAGATTAGCATGAGAACTGTCGCTGGGAAAGTAGCTGCTCACGTCTTGTTCTAGTAGGGAGTTTATGATCTGCGCCGCGGTTATCTCGACGTCGCTAGTCAATTATTTTGCTAGAAATAGTCGAAATAGGCTTACGGGAATCAATTATGCTGTCAGGATCTTTGAAATTATACAAACGTTTCAATTGTGTGCCAAGAACCTCGGAAGTCTAGCTGATATTGCATTTCATATAAGCTGTAAAACAGGCTGTGAAAATGACTCATTTGGAGGCGTCGTAAGAATAACAACGCTGTCGTGGGATCAGAAATTATGTATACCTATATTGTCTCGCGTGTGATCGAGTTCTTTATTTTGCAAGCACGTCATCCAGCTGACCGCGCATAGGACGTGAATCGTAAGTTCCCTAGTATCAGTTAAGCCACGCAATAACTTACACAACAAACTTGACTTATATTCATTCGTACAATGACCCCTCCGTCATCAACCTCGTACCAAGGATCTCTTACCTTCAAGCTATTTGAGTTTTCGGCAAACCCTTGCATACTTGTTGCATCAATTTCGTTAAAAGTATTCGCGCAATAATGATGCTCAGTTAAAAATCGCTTTACTCGTGTTAACGAATTTTCGAGTACCCTAATTTCCTCTTATAGAGCAAGGTAAACATTCTCTTAGTGACGGTTCTTGTTATTGAAAAGTTGAGACGTTGAACATTATGCATGCTCTGGTAAAACGTCGCTGTTCTCACGCGCCAATTCTTGTACAATAGGGGGACCTTTGGGCGATGAATCCCAGTCAGTATTGTCCACAAACACAATATTTCTTAAAATGATATGATATCTGCGATGATTTCTGATTTGTGGTTCTTTAATACATTGCTATGAGCAGAACCGATGCGCTGTTAATTTCTCTTTAAGCACGATAAATGACCTACAACGACGGTTATCATTTCTCCCCATATCATTTATTCCCATGCTTCCTACATGATCGATCCTTTTAGCTTCGTTTGTGACGGTCAAGGATCGATCGTGTCGTTGAATAAATCAGTGACGCTCCGGCTCGTTCCCACAAAGGGAACGAATCTGTAAACGTTTGTGTATGAAAGATTGTTGCGCCGTTTTTTACTCACGGATACTCTGTAGGAGTATCAGGGAATAATTGCCAACGGTCTCGCATTCTTTAGTGCCATTAATTCGACCAACCTGCTTTGCGCGCTTAGTATTAAAAACTTATTTATCTGGTTAGTCTACTATAGCCCACAATTAATCGGCTATTCGTGCGTCCGTGATCATGAGCCGTCTCATTGAGACCTTTGATTTGAATAATCCTATAAAATATCTCTGAATTTTGCCTTTTTATCTATTTTACAATATCATCTAGTTCTCCCGGGAATGAACTATGCAGTGAACTCTGTCGGAATTTTGAAGCCAAGATGGCGGACACTGAAGCCTTTCTTGTAGGTATGATCCAGTCCTCCACGCCGAAATTTCGGAGGTAAAATGGTGGCAATTATGATTTTTCCTTTGAAATTTCCGCGCTAGAGGCTTGGATCATACCAACAAAAAAGGCTTCATGATCTGCCATCTTGGCTTTACTCATTAATGAGTAAAAACCAGAGAGTGAGCGTTAGTGCGTAGAGTGACCAGTCCGGCTTATTTGAGTTCACTGGGACTATATTATACTAATTGAATTTCTGCGAAGTATTTTCGTGGAAAGAAGTCCTTAATTGTGAACAGAGGGAAACATGCATGATCGTATTGATTCATTCATTTCCCCTGAATGAATTACATGCATCGTGGTTGTCCGTTGGTTTTGCTAATTGACGCAAAGAAGGGGCATAAATATGTCGTGGGAAAATAAACTGCGTGTCTTTATTTCAAATGTCGTAAAAAAGATTGCACGCTAGGCAACCTTTGAAAGGTGTTTGACTTGTGGTTATCGATCATGCGATTGATGTGAATATATTAATTATTTCGGCACGGTGTATTAAAGAGTGCGAAACACACGAAAATGGCGCTTCCCAAACTGAGATATTTCTGGTAATAAAATCGGTAATGAAGTGGTTCATGTTAGAACGCTAAACAACAAAGGTTAGCATCAGAACTAGCTAAGCAAGAAGCAATATATGTTAATGATGAATGTCGGTGATTTGCAGTTGGTATAGTTAAGTGGTTTATGTTAGAGAGCAATGAGGAAGGATATCTTGGAAACTTGTCGACGTTTTATAACAAGACGTGTGTCATAAGAAGCGAAGACCGTACATTAATGTAATGCTTCCCTTCTGCCTTCCCTGATTGTTTTAAAATGTTTACAGCAAAACATTTTGGTAAACTTCTTTAATTCCGTCAAGGCCATGAACAGAGAATTCGTGCAACTATATATGTTCAGTTATGGATCGTGTATATTCTGTCAACGTATTTTGAAGTAGTCTAGTTTGCTCTTAGACTGGACAGTGAACATGCTCTTAACAAACCGTTGGCATATTTTGATGAGTTAAGAAACCCAGACGTCTTGCATCACGCAAGCTTTGGCCATGCAACCCAAACGTCCCAAAACTTCAGATCTGCGGAGCTTGATCTCCAATTTCATAATTTGCATACAAGATATCCCGCCCTCGTCTAATAGTGTTCATCAAACGATAGGCTTAAAGTTTTGTTTTTTAATTTCAGTCGAATAAAAACGTAATGCTCTATTTCAAAGAATAACAAGACGTGTGTCATAAGAAGAGAAGGTCTGGATTGTTCTACCACAATACAAAAGACCGTACATTAATGTAATGCTTCTGCCTTCTCAGATTATTTTAAAATGCTTACAGCAAAACGTTTTGGTAAACTTCTTTAATTCCGTTAAGGCCATGCTCAGAGAATTCGTGCAACTATATGTTCAGTTATGGATCGTGTATATCATGTCAACGAATTATGTCAACGTATTTTGAAGTAGTCTAGTTTGCTCTTAGACTGGACAGTAAACATGCTCTTAACAAACCGTTGGCATATTTTGATGAGTTAAGAAACCCAGACGTCTTGCATCACGCGAGCTTTGGCCATGCAACCCAAACGTCCCAAAACTTCAGATCTGCGGAGCTTGTCAGCTTGATCTCCAATTTCATAATCTGCGTACAAGATATCCCGCTCTCGAAAGTAACGAGTAGGGAGTGTGCGATTCACTCGCGAGTAACGAGTAAAGAGTGTCTGAGTCACTCGCAAGTAAGGAGTAGCGATTTACAAATGATAATTTATACAATTACATACTAAGTATTTGCTCACACTCGCATATATATGTATATGATTGTGTTTACAAATTTTGGGTATTTCAATTCTTACCTTTACTTTTGTAACTGACAATAAAACGTCGTATTGAGCCGATACACAACCACGGGATAAACGAATCACCGCGCGGTTTTTAACATCATGATTAAAGTCCTTCTAAATACGTAAGTTATTACATTCCAGAGTTAGCAAATGGTTGATGTTCATTATAAACCTTCCATGAACCTGCTTAGTCAAGTTTATAATAATTTACACAGGAAGAAACCAAGATTTTACCAAACACAATATTTCACAAACTACATATATGTAGAGTTTGTAGATCAAAACAATATGTATAACGCGGGGGCGATCCCTACTATCAACGGGTCCTACTAAAAACCGCCCGAGACCGCCCGGGACCGCCCGAGACTATAGAAAAACCGCCCGAGACCGCCCGAGAGTAATCAGAGTATAGAAAAACCGCCCGAGACTTTAAAAAAGCGGCTGACAGAAATCTGAAGTTATTTTGTGTTTTTAAATTAAATATCAGTAAATATGAAATGTCCTAAGAACCCGTATGCTTAAACAAGAACATTTGACACTAACTAGCACAGATTAGCGGGCTGAATTGTAATTGTGCATGGAAATTCTCCTGGCTCTGTTGTTTTACTCAACATGATCCTTATTGTTTTACTTTGCCAGGCCTGCATTTAAAACAGTGTCTTAATCAGGATACCAGATGTCAGGACTCTCGGGCGGTTTACTATACTCTCGGGCGGTTTACTATACTCTCGGGCGGTTTACTATACTCTCGGGCGGTCTCGGGCGGTTTTTCTATACCCTCGGGCGGTCTCGGGCGGTTTTTAGTAGGACCGCTATCAACTGGTAATTTATTGCCTTCACAAGTTGGATTGCATAAATTAACAGTCTTGTTTTGATCAAACGGCTACACTATAGTTTGTCTAATTGTGTGTTTGGTAAATACTTGGGTTCTTCTTTTGTAAATTCTCATAAACTTGACTAAAATCGTTCATGGAAACTTCAGATTGATAATGAACCCCAACTATTTGCTAACTGTGGGATGAAATATCCAGGAAGGACTCGAGAATCTTGATGTCAAATACCGCGTGCATGGTCATTCCTTTATCCCGTGGTTGTGTATCGCCTCAAAGAAATGTTTTTATGCCAGTTGCCGAAGTCTTTGCCAAAGGTAAGTTCTTATCTTCTAAGTACTCATAACTTACATACAGTTTGGGTATGTGATTTATAAAGTTAGAGTTTAGACTTCACAACAACAACACCATGCTTGTGGTTTATCGCTCAATCAACAAAATCAATCGTCTGACTAGAAAGCCTACAGACACAACGAGAGTCGAAAAAGGCGTGAAGAGCCGATTGCAATAAAAATATAGCTACAACTAATAATACTACTAAATGTACAACAACTAATAATAATGCAGGTTGTCAAAATTGCATAGTTTAAAATTGGAATACCACAAATTGTAAACACAATTCACAAATATGCGAGTGTGAGCAAATAATTTATGCAATCGTATAAATTATCATTTGAAAAGTGCGTACACGTACGGAAAATTTTAAATGCTTTTAAATTTCTACTATTTAACATCTAGGTCAACTAATACATACTAAAATATGCAGAAAACTAAGTTCCTTCGATTTATTCACTTAGTTTTTTCAAAGGTAACATGTGTAAGGATTCAGTTAGACTTTTACGTGCGTGTACGTGCGTATGAAAAACGCGTAAGTGGAAAGTAGCCTTAACAAGTGGCGTCAAGTTACTCGCGGGCGGTTCTGCATGTATACTGCTTACCTGTCCCGGCAACATTTACATGGCAAAATTATGAAATGAGGTGCTGTGTGTAATTGTAAAGTTTTCTGTGTTTATACCGACTGGAGACGCTCCGAAAGTTTGACATTGTTACCTGAAATGCATATTTCGCAACCTTCCCGGTTTCGTCCTTTACAATTTATAATTTTGGCTATTTGATCGCTTAAGCGAATAAAATATCTATTACTAAAGGCCCTGTAACACGGCGCCATTTTTCTTGCATGTAACTTGTGGTGCTGTTGATGGACTTGTAATGATGATTATCACTGAGTTATACCGCTAACATTGAGTGTAAATGCACATTCCAGGCTTTTCCACTTTTTATCATTATCTTAATTTGTATTCATTGAAATTGAACGTAATGCTGTGCTTTGCACTGCCAAACGGCTGTGGATGTTTAATTTTTAGGTAGTCTCACGGTAGTCTCGTTTTCAACTGCTTGCATGGTCGCACCTTAAATCAGGTCCTTTCCATGCATGGTAAGAGAATTGTGTTTTCGCAAGCCCTGGTGTACTGCTCTGTTGAAATCTCACCTTTGCATGAACAAGTCATTGAATATATCACTGAATCTGCACTAATTTACATTATTTAAAAGTAGGTTTGCATTGCATGCAAGTTGCAAGAAAAATTGCACCATGTAATAGCGCCTTTAGCTCAGCAAGTTCAATCTCTTGTGCATATATAAGGATAGTTTTGTTAAGGAATTCGCTTTGAAATGCACGTTTTTTGCATTTCTGTTACTCGAGGAAAAACACATTGCTTTAGATCCAAACCCAATTTATTGTTTACCATTAATGAACCATGCATACATAATGTATACATTTATAGCTATATATTATAGCTATAATAGCCATTTTATGTCAAAGATTGCATGCGTATTAAATACACTCGTACTGTGCAAACTGAAAATCTCTACAAGGCATTATTCTGCCGCTATTTATACGGTGGACATAATATAAAATAATCATCAAGTAATATATGAAAACGAGAGATCAAAAGTTCAACGCGACGTTATTTGCATCTGAAATGGACAATGTCCTTCAACAGACACGAGACTCTCATCTTGACAGCATACCATGCTAGCAGTATCGTAGTATTTCGTGCCACAACACCTATGACCAGATTTCTTAGGATAAGCCTTGCCACAACAGCAAATATATGTGCCTGGATCATAGGCTGTTGTGCCGCAGTAATCTCCTAAAAATATAAACGTGGAAATTAATCAGACTTCTTTAACTATTTATTACGTGCATGAGCGTTTGTATGCAGTACCATAAGACTATGACGAAGTGATTTTATGTAACCACTTTCGAAAACGCCGCTTTGGACGAGAGGTTCCGGGGGAAAACGTTGTTTGACTCTGTCTGTCTGTCTGTCCAGCAGGTATATCTGCCTGTCCTTTGCGATTGTTTGGGCATTGTTTGTGCATTTTCTCACAACAATAATGAAATATTTTATAACCTATATCCCGAAAATGTAGTTTTCTACATGATAGCTGGTAGTAGGCTGACGCTGAATCTTTCCCGGACATCTCACTGCACTGCAAAAAGTTTGGCAGAAAATCAATGGATTTTAAGTCAAGTTCTTGATGTTTATGAAGTATAAATAATTGGTGTGTATGAAGTTTTAACCCGAAAATCTAATCATTTGTTTACATTTGTGCATTTCTGTATGGCTATCAAAGAGAAAACTACTGAATAAGTTAAAAAAATTCCATTTTGCTTGTGAGTATTCCCAGAATTCTGCGATCTTTTGACAGCTCATCATGAACATCTGACAGCTGTGAAATGGCCATTTCGAGGCTTACATTATTCTTACAGAAGGTTATTAATTCAGAGCGATTCGTTTTTACCGAATCTGCGGTATAGATTGCATGCACTCTTTACAGAAATATTGGACTGTAGCCATTGTCCTACCTGTCACAATGATATTCACAACACATTGCATGTAAAAGGTTTGAAATTCGGTGCTGTGTTTGTAGTCGTAAACAAGTTTGTGTTTACCGACCGGAAAATCTCCACTCGTAGTGCTTGGGTTGTTTCCATTGCCCCTAGCTGGGCAACTAGGCTCAGGTTCCAACCAATTGACTGTGGCTTTTGTCTCGCCGAGTTTAACTTGAGCTCTTATCGTCTGTGTGCTTGGACATTCGCATGCTTAAAATATCAAAATATTCTTATTATATCAAAACAGGCATGCATGTTTCTTAACAATTTTTTCATAAATAACGGAGTGAAGAGTATCGTTAAGTAAAAGAACGAAATACTTTTTCTATGATAACCCAAGACCTTATAGGTTTTCAACCTGGTACGACTTTAATTACATAGAAAGTGGTTCTGATTCTTTTCCTCTCTGCATAGTTATGCGCTCTATAGATGATTTGAAGGTTTTGAAATGAGTCCCATGTATGAAACCCAACTTTCCTGTATTAGTCATGAGATTTGTTATTTGGCTTTTCTATCACCTAATCACATGTCTGAAACTGCATGATTATTTTAGTGAAAATAATAGTTATGCTAGTATAGTCAAATATGTATGCGTTATTCCTGCGTTTTTTTTTGCCAGTGTAGACCAATACTATTATCATGTGTAATGTACATTTAGCTATAAAAACTTACCACCGACATTGACAGTAAATAAACAATCTTGGCTGGCCCACTTTTTGTCACTATCTTTGTACGCAAAAGTGTATTTAATTTTGTGCTCGCCGATTCCAAACTCCTGTGGATTTTGTGTGTTAGAAGGATCCACGGTCATATCAGGTTCAACAGACTTGTCGCACTTCAGTTCAGGTTCTAACCATGACAAGAAAATGGTATTTTCGCCAGGCTTGGTGTACTGTTCCGTTGAAATTTCACCATCGCAAGCACACTGCACTAAAAAAGAAAAAGCCATATCGATAAAATCCACGGGGTGTCCCAAAAAACGCCAAAAATATTGAAGTGAAAATAAAAAGAAAATTGAGATTTTTACGCGGTTTGACTCCACATGACTCATCAACGATTTTTGCGAGAACGTCGTCCAATTTATCAAACGCTGAGGTAAACATATGGTTCGACCACGATTTAATATTTTTCCGGAATTCGGGCTTTTCTGCTTCCTTTCCCACTGCCAAGGCAATGATAGACACGTTCCTTGCCATTAGGCTGGCCGAGTATTCATCAGCCATTTCGTATTGTTCTTTTATCAATGCATTAGTTCTTGCTCTCGGCTCGCCATCGGTGAATAACAAAATAACGTCGTCAATTTCTGTACGATGATTTAATGGATTTCTTGAATGGTATTCCTTTAAAATGTCAAACGTAAATATTCATCAAATAAGTTGATCATAACGAGATTAGTAATAATATTTAAAAATCCTCTTTGACTGACTGACTCGTTGCGCATTTTGCGGAATACGACAAGTTTTCCTTTATTTCAGTCAAATGCATGTGCGCTGATTTATGCCACTCAACGAGAATTTGATATATTAACTCCATGGGGAATATAAATATTAAAGCCCAACATAGCACTTTTAGTAAAGCCATAAAAGACTATTTCCACAATTTATGCATAATAAAAATATGTCGTAAGTTAAGACGAAACGTTACTTTGAAATATTACTTATATATATATATATATATATATATATATATATATATATATATATATATATATATATTTTTTTTTTTTTTTTTTTTTTTCGCTTGAATGGACCAAGCCTTTAGGCGAGCCTTTAGCTTTACATTGTATCACTTAAATCATATAATTGTTTTGCCCGTTCACATGATCCAATTTCATCGGGTCCAATTCACTTCTGACGTATGGAATGTAGTCTGCTATTGATAAAGCAGTACGGCACCGGCATTAGACTGATTAGTTGATTTGCTGCGCTATAATTAAGGGAATCGGATTGGACAAAATTTGATCGTGTTAACAGACCTTAAAGATAAAGGAACTGCAGATATTTTTCGCTGTAAACAGTGAGAGTAAAGTATGACAAATAGACTGCTGGCCATATTATAGAGTTTCATAGAGGGGCATTCGTGACGTGAAGATATTATTGTAAGCAAACATTGGTGTCGCAATAAATCGAGTATGTTTTAAGGGTTGAAGGACTACATTTCAATTAGAATCATCGTTAGATTTCAAACCTAAGAGTTCAAATTTGTGATCCAATGCTTTAGGATCCGGTAAAATATTCACGCGTTGACATGCACGTGCAATTCCTTTCCGAGGATCTGTGGTCGACAAATTTGCTCAACTCTCTGGCATTGACGTTTACGTGGGTCTAACATGAATTATCATCGCTTTTTCTAAACAAGCTATTGACACATTATAAATCTAAAGGACGCGCGGTGCACTCACATCACTTGCAAGTTTGAATGCTAAACCCGTGTACGTATAAGGACCCATTAAATCTTCTACATAGTTTAAGCCATCCAACCAAGACTGCAAATCTTCCTGCTCCATTATGGATCCAATCTTCAACAAACGCCTTGTCTTCTCCTCACTGGCGAAAGTGATAAAACCAATATGAGTGCCATCTTTTCCCACATCAAGTTTCGGATCTGCAACTAACTTCTTTAGGAAAGGCCGCACATTATCCAGGAAATTGCCAATGCCAACAGATTGGGAATTATCCCAAATCACGAGCATGTCTCTTGTGCATTCTAAAGTCAATAGAAATTCTAAACAGTCTACTTTTCCACTCTATTCCATTTTACTCTCAATCTATAATCGCCTATTACCCTTTCTTGGCCCGCTAAATGTTTAAAGCATGAATTTCAAACATTTCAGTTAATATATTTATTTATTTATTTAACTTTGCAAATACAAATGACAGGACGTCGAACAGGCGTCTGGACAAAACAAGGACAAGAATGGCTGGGACACGACAACAGCGAAAATAAAGTGCATGTGCAGTACCCTTGTACTAATAAGCGGGGAAATAACGTTATTTTGCATTATTTTCACCTTTTACTCACAGACGAGTGGATTATCATTAAAATTACCCACTCTAGCTCTTTCTGTGAATTAATATACTGCAATTTATAAAAAATTCGAGAAAACCTATAACAATTCCTAATGTGTAAGCTTCAAAGTATTTTAAACGGTACATTCACGTGTAGACATGACTGTCCATCATTTTTTATTCCCTATTGAATGTAAGAATGCAGTTAAACTGGCAAAGACATAACCGAGTGTGAAATCCTCGCACACGTTCAAAAAGAGTTTTGGATGTGTAAATTGAAATTTTGATGAAAGCAGATGTCACTTCAACAAGGCTTGTGGAGTTAACTACAAACTAACTCTACATAAATATTTGCGAAAGAATGAAGATTGAACTTAATTAGCCGCGATAATCCATAACCAACCTATTTAATGCAACAATGGATGATATTTACCTCATTTCGATGACTAAAATTGTTTTTAAATATTATAAATATTAGCCATCGAATCAATTGGGTTATTTCCTATGTGACATACGATTTGGTCTGCCTATGTCAGGAAACTACTTGCTTGATTTAAAATGGCGAGGAGGACTGCATGCATGTTTACACTTCTATATAGCTCAATTGTTCTACCGCCATGTTTTTTTAAATTAATAGCTTTCATGCACGGTCTATACCCTTTCAAATGCCATCCTACCTAGGTCTAAACACCCTTTTATATGCATTTTTGCAACCGTCAGTTGTTTGATAATTGAACTTACCTTCTCTAGGGGCCGTGAATACAGACGGACTTCCGCGACGCCAAAGACGAGAATCTATTTAGAAAAAAAAGATCGAAAAACATACGAGTTTAAACCCAACTTGATGAAATATGGTAATGTGTTCATTGTTGCAGTGTAGTGTATTTAGGTAAGTACAAATTGGAAATTAATTTCTTCACAATGCCATCCAGTTGATGAATGAAATATAGACTATGCATGTTTTCTAGTCCATGCATGCAGTCATCAACCAGAGAATTCGAATTATAGCACATGAATTAAGCCAGGGGGCTCAAAGCAAAGCGGTATTATCTGTTGTCAATCAGCTTCCCAACTTGGGTTAACACAATTTAAACAAATAAATAAAATATAAAATCTTATATTTTCATGAAATTAGTCATAAACCAGGGATAAAGAGATAACGCGAGCAATATTTGGTTTGCTTCAAGGAGAATACTTATATAAAACTTCTTAAATTTTTTTTGAAATCCTGGAGTAAATGTTCGAGTCCTGGTAGTGCTATTTCATTAGTCTACTCTCTTTTTGGACGTGCGTCCCTGATTGAAAATCAGCTTTCCGCATAATAGAGGTTTCTTTTGGAGCAAGCTAAACATATTACAGACTATACCGAGGTCTACAAGCACATACCACTCTAATCCCACAATCTCATCGCATAATTAATTTATTGCAAATGATCAGTTTTGACTACGTAGCTAATAAGGTACGAAATTTGAGTACCTTTAGTTGGTGTAAAATCTTAAAATATATTATTATGAATATTTACATGTCACATAGAGATAATATGATATCACTTACCCTCAAGTTCGTCAGATAAACTGGAAGCCCAACCTTTTTGAAAAAACAAAGTTAATAGAAACAACCACTGTAACATCATCTTGAAGGTTTCAGTCACTTCAAGTCTTTATCTTTAGTCTTCCAGGATAAGTCTTCTTTATGCACGTCTCTTGTTGAATGGCAAGAAACTGCATGCAGCCATAGCTACTTTTATACTATCTGCAAACTTCAAAACGAAAGATTATTGATAGACCGTTGGAATTTTTATCAATGATTTTTCCTTTGACACACTAAAACGTGCGCCGTGGTTTCGCTTTTGACGATGCGAGACGGCCACTTGATCAGGGTAATAGTAAAGCCACTTGATCAAAGCAAGCATCATATCTATTTCAGTAAGGAGACAATCCTACCATTAGAATAATATCTACCTTCCTCAGTAAGGAAACAATCCTGCCTGTTAATTCAGAATGGAAACCACGACCTATTTCTACACCTGCTGCATTTGTCGAGTATTTTAAAAAATCAACACCCAGAAGTTATTCTTTAGACTCGTTAATAATCAGTTATTGATCGAACATGAAATCTTTACTCGAAATAACGTTCTCCCAAGGTCAACAACTGGCGATATTCTTATATGATATATATCAATACTGATCGTTTGTAATGTGGCGAGCGATCGACTGTTCTAATCACTTAGATCAACTTGCCAATGAAAATTGCAACATCGCATTACAATATTGCAGTCTTGTTCATAAGAGAACATCCAGCACGAGTTAACTTTCTTTCTTGTTGGTAAACACTTCAGTGAAACATATCGTGATCTTAAACGAAAACGAAATATTATAAAATATGCACTATAGTTCAATTATGAATTATGTCGATAAACACGATAACATATTGATTCAGTCAATAGGTTCAAATATTTTGTTTAAATTTCATTACATGCTTACCTCGTATGCCCCTTCAAATATAGCTATCTTTAGAAGCTTAGTATTCACTCAAGGAAAGCAAATTCTTACCTAATGCTGTGGCGGAGTCAGAGCAATTCAGAATAAATTATGCGGTCCAATTCTAAATTCAAAATACTTTAATGACGACGCTATTAACATTGGTTATTCATTTCTATAAAAACATTATTACACAAATATCTACGAATTTGATTGCAAGTTAGAGCTTTGGAACTATATTCTGACCTAGCATGGATCTCTAAAGCTCCAATGTTGCAAAAGATGAACCACATTGTATGCAGTCCATTTTTAATAAGAAAATAATAGAATCCCAGTTAACGAAGGAATAGACAACAATGTAAATGACAAGAAAGCAACAGTCCATACACCATAGTCCAAAAATACTCAGAAACGTATACCATATAATTATTATAACGATCTTCAGCTATGAGACGAACTGGCTGTGTTTTAAAACACTTCGAGTATACAGGGTGAGTCAAAAAAAAGTCCCCCCTATTGAAATGAAGCCTTTAATTTGTTGATTTGAATGCATGATCAACGCAGTAGTGTGTAAATAGCATAGTTATTAGGTTGAGGCATTCAAATAAAGCGTCTTGCTTTCAAATGGGTTTATCATAATATTAAGGCAATCAGATTCTAACAAAGGCTTGATTTCAATAGAGGGGACTTTTTTCTGACTCACCCTGTATAATAGGCTAAGTCAATACAGAAGTGTCCTATATAATTTCAAAATTCTACCGTATTCTAAGAAATCTTTGACCACTTAACTTTTGCTCAATCATATACTTGCTTTCTTATAACTCAGCATATTACATATTATATATACAAGACACATAAAGAACGCCCGATCAACTCGCAGTATAATGAAATTCCGGAAAGGTCTTTCTAAAAAATATTTTCGTTTCAATAATCACTACGACATTAGTTCATGTTTCCCATAAAGCACTTCAATCTCAATCTTCAATATTGTTAGCTACTTCATCACTAAGGGTCTAGACTAAGTTCAAGCAGGAAGGAATACTCGAAATCATCATGATATGAAAAAATATTCTGAATTTGTTCCAAGCACAAAAACATGTTTCAAATGTTTTTGCTTCTTTGCTATATTCAACAACATGTTGTACCTGCAAATGCGTCATGCGCTGGTATTGTACTTATGTCTGGTAATATTGGATTTGTTTATTTTAGAGAGATTAATTATAATCAAAAAGTCACTTTCAATCAAAAGACAAGTTCAATTTTGTCGAATTTAATTAACATGGGAGACAATTAAATCATATAAAGCCAATGCAGTACATGTTTAAGATAATAATATTATTATACCCTTTTACGGTGAAAATATACAATGGGTTACATAAGTTATTAAGCTAAATTAAAATTCGATATTTGCAAAGTAAACTATATAGTAATATGAAGAATATAATGTTTTCAATACAATAGACAATTATGATATATAGATAAAATAGAATTATGATATAACACGATGTTATGATACAGATATAAATTACGATATAGATAAAATACAATTCAAGTATCATGTAATACAATTATATGATGTAACACAGTTATGACATAGATAAAATACAATTATGATATAATACAATATCTGAAATATAGCGACATCTGAAATCCGGTGCCGGATGTTTTTTAGTTGCGGCGAAAGTAGAATCGCTCCCTACTTTTATCTGTTCGACGAATAATTTCGTCTACAGGAAAACGGGCTTGAATTGCATTCGACGCCACCAAAATGCGACGTTTAACCGAGGCCTCATTCCTGTGCATCGAAATTACTATGATTTGCATGTTCATGTTATGAGTAGTGTTTCATATTGAAATATCATTAACAAAGACACTTTAAGGTCGACACAGACCGGACGCGATGCGGCAACGCGACGCGAATTTTGAGTTTTCAGAAGCATATAAATTAAATTCTGGAAGCCAAATTTGAAAACTATGGATGCTAGAGCAGTCAAAGTGTTTTATTGTTATTTAATCTGCAAGAATATTATGATAATTTAAAATTTATTTGATTTTGAAAAATTAAAAACGTTGAAAATTCTCAGTAGCAATGAAACTCTCGGGAGTATTAAATTTGTATTAAACTCGATATTGCAGGGAAAATGCACTCAAGTTCACAGTAAGACCTCAAACCTATAATTTTTTAACCAATCAAGATTTAATGCTTCTTAGAATTAACTTAGTATAATGCCAAAGATGGTGTATGAGAAAAAGGCTTATTTTCCTTCCCATAAATGGCCAGCTAATGTCCTATATTAGAGACGATTTTAACGTTACTGCATGCATGTAACGCCAATTTTACTGAACTGAGATCATATAAACAGCTCTTCAAGGACTACGACGTTCTGCAAGCAACGGCAATTTTGATCAAATCTTAATTGTGATGTCCTTCTGAAACACGTTGACGTTTCGAGAGGACCTCAAGTGTTCAGTCTACCACATTCGAGGGTAGCGCTAGACAGGCGTATATAGCAAAGTCTTTCAGGACATTCAACAAATTCGTGTTAAGTCGAACTGTTGGGCAATTTTTTCGGAAATCAGTAATTGGTCGGAAATCAGAGAAAGCTTGCAGCATGCGATAGTTCTAAAACATGTACCTAAATGATGTAATTTGGTAGAATCTGATGGGAAACACTTGATCTCAGGGGCGGTCTGGGTTTTTTTATGGCAGTCAAAATTTTGGCATGTCAATGAAGAATTTTCAGGCAATGACAAGAAGTGTCATGCAATTGTAGCAATTTACCCCTTCCCACAGATTTATCAAATTTTCAATACGTTATATAATTATTGTCTATATTGTCTAGGGCAAAGTAAAATTGCTTTATAGCTGAAACCCGCGGTACACATGACAAGCATTAATATATACTCAGATGACTCGACATAACGTCTATTATTTCTATGGTGCATAATACTCAGACATAACATGATTTTACATTTTAGAAATATATAAAACTTTATAAATCTATTATACACTGCTAAATAATACAGAAATATTGTACAGCAGCTCACGTTCAGCTAAAACGAATAAACAATTTGAAAAATGAGAATACGAAGTACGAACGGCTCGAAATTCCAAATATTTTTGACCGTTTGAGCGACGGCGGGCGAATGCAAATAAATGCTATTATCATTCACGTCATTGTTTTCTCAATCTTGATTGGTTAATTTACCTGCACGATCTTCGCCGTCAGATTGCAAAACAACGTCAAGCTAGGAAATATCGTTGCTGCTACAGAACTTGAGATCGAGCATGAGTGAGGAGCAGATTCGAGCAAATGACCTCGCCTAGTTGAAAGGATCCTCAGCTTGGCTAACAACTCTGCCACTCGCTGATGAAGCCACTTGGCTAACAGCTTTGCCACTTGCTGATGGCCGTTTTATCTCAAAGCATGCATGCGTATTAGCTAAATACACGTATACTGTACGAACTGAAAATCTTTACAAGGCGTTAGTCTGTTACTAGTCATACTTTGGATACAATATAAAATATTAAGTGGACAATGTCTTTTAACAGATATAATAGTATTTCGTGCCACAACACATGTGATCAGGTTTCTTAAGATAGATAAGCCTTGCTACAACAGCATGCAAATATGAGTTGCTGGTTTATAGGCTGTTGTGCCGCAGTAATCTCCTAAAAATATAAACGTGCATGAAATTAATCAGATTTAAACATTAAACGTGGAAATTAGACTATTTAGAACTTGAGTGTTTGTTTCCACTTTGCAGTACCATATAACAATGACGATGTGATTTGATTTAACGAATTTCGAAATGGGCGCTTTGAGTGAGAGATTCAGAAAAGAACGTTGTTTGACGTTTTCTGTTTGTCCATTGTATTTCTTATAGCGTTTTACAATTTGATTTAGTGTGAAAAAAGTCGAAATATCACCTTAAAATTCTAGTCTTGCTGTCTATAGCTCATATCTTGAGTTTACAAGATGTCATTTTTCGGAGTATGTTTTTTCTTGTATTATGTTCAGTTATGGATGATCGTGTATATTCTGTGAACGGATTTTCAAGTGGTCTAGTTTGCTCTCACGCCTGTATTCAAAAAGCTCACTCACACTCATACTCATCGAGTGTTAGGCTACATGTAAATTTCGTTAATGCTGATCAATGAGAAAGTTTTTTCTGAATAGATGGAAAGATATAAAGTAAATCACTGAAAATCAAGCCCCTGTTCGACTGGAAATACCGCCATTGAAACGTTATGAGAAGATTAAGATCTCCCACTCAATGAGTTTGAGTGTGAGTGAGCTTTCAGAATACAGGCGTCAGACTGGAGAGTAAACATGCTCTTAATAAACCGTTGGTATATTTTGATGAGTTAAGAAACCCAGACGTCTTGCGTCACGCGAGCTTAGGCCAGTTCAAACGTCCCAAAATTACAGAACAGCGCGATGTCTTGTTTCAGATCAAGTTGTTAATTTGCGCCGGAGCAGTGTTTATGTGACACAATAATTTGCTATTATTATTCACCCTAAGTAAGTATTACACGATGCCAACTTTCCCTGCAATTTAATTGCAATGCAAATTCTAATGTTGAGGGATCTTAATTTGTAAAAAGTGTTCGAAATGCTAAGAAAACGAAGAAAACGTTAGCAGATCGTAAGAAATGTTCGTATTTGACAACTTTAGATGCATCATGCAGGGTAGAACTGCATTGCACGTTGCACAGTGTACCATCGCTTTTAGCAACGACGGAGCTTGATCTTCCAATTTCATAATCTGCATGCAAGTCACATAAACATGCATATAAATTCCGCTCTCATTCGACAGTGTTCATGAAACGATAGGCTAAAATTTTTGCTTTTTCATTTCACAAGTCTAATAAAAAGGCAGTGCTCTGCTGCTCTAATTTCAGGAAAGTTTATTGATATTCCAAAATGAAATCGTATACATAATGTGTATTTATAAACAAACACATAATTATAGCCCCTATATCTCAAAGTTGGAACATCCGTACTGTAGCGAAAAATACTGTCCACGGACGCATTAGTTGACACCATAATTATTTAGTGCACAAGAATTTTCTTTCATGCATATTTTTTACTACTAGAGTTTACTAAAGAGGACCCCGCATGTATTTATAGAAGTTAACATTGATTCAAGACGCAAGTGTCATATTTTTATTCTCTCCTAATGCAATTTGAGAAGGGTTCGCGGATATATTATCCTAATATTGAATATTTCGGACACTTTGATCTGTTCAGTTAAGAAAAAACTGAAAACACCCCAACTGTATGTATATTATATATATGCGCCAAGATTTCGACATTCAAGTTCGAATAGGAAGTGTGCTGCTTTATTTCAAATGACGTAAAAAAGATCGCTACGCAACCTTTGAAAGGTGTTTGACTATAGTGGTTATGAATCATGTGATTGATGGGAATTATTTCGACACAGTGTATGAAAATTTAAAGTCTGAGAGCAAAACACCCGAAAATGGCACATCTCAAATTTATGTTTCGGACAATAAAATCAGTAATAAAGTGGTAGCTACATGTTACAACGCGAAACAACAAAGGTTAGGAAAGGAATTGGGAACTTTGCTAGGCAAGTAGCTGCTCAAGTCTTAATGAGATCGACGAAGGCTTTATTGTTCTAGTCTCGGTTAAGCCACGAAGTAACCAACACTGCAAACTCGACTTATTTATTCGTCCAATGACCCCTCCGTCATGAGCCTTTTTCAGGCTAAGTAAGTTTTCGCCAAAATCGTGCATACTTGTATCGTTGGCATCCAAATAAGAACTAAAGTTACAACAACAAATAATTCATTTGGAATTATGGACATTTTTTATTATTGATATATTGCGCTAAGCACGGTAAACAACAATACAACGACGGCTATATAATAATGACTATTTATTCACATATCATTCATTCCCAGGCTTCACTTCTCGTTTTCAACTTCTCCATGCATTTCAGGATGGGGTGGCTTTCGAAATCTTTCGACATGTAGTTTTCGTATTAGGTGGTATAACCCATAATAGGCTGGTCAACCCTTGAACCCGTAACAGTATATATAAAAACGAAATGCGTCTGAAATAATGACGTCTTATAGACGCCTTGACTTAAGCTACAAATCCCACAATAGTCTACAGTCAGCATCGTACAAGATTGAATTTAGCTAATAACAACATGTAACACACGCCTATGAACTAATGTTACAATCAATGTTATGGCATATATTACTATAAAAAAGTCGCATTATCTACAAGTGTAGTCTTATTACAGCAATATACTACATTATTACAGTATAGTCGAACAAAGACATGCAAAGGTTCGATGCCATATTTCAAAAGTTAATATCTTTTTAAGAAGGACATTGTTTTCCAACAGATACGATACTGGTGTCTCCGCAGCATAAAAGACCAGCAGGGTTGTAGTAATTTTTGCCACAACACTTGTAACCAAATTTCTTAGGATGAGTCTTATCACGGCAGCAAATATGAGAGGCTGGATCATAGGCTGTTTTGCCGCAATACCTCCCTAAAAAAGGCATGGGACTTAGAAAACGATAACAATCGCAGAAATTGTGCAATTATATTTAGTGCTTACAATCCTCTAAAGTAAGGCTCCTCTGGCATCTCTAAAACATGCATGTGTTTTCTTTAGATCAATTTGAATATTTCAAATTCCAATTCACGTAAAAGCAGGGATAAAAATCATGTTGGACGCGCTTCAGGCAAGCGTCACTGGCCGTGTGAGAATTTTAATAAATGATTTAAACCTTTCTCTTTTAGCCTTTAAGCTCGCAATACGTGACGATATTTGATTATCAAGCAATTTTGAGTTGTGATATCGGTCAACTTGCGATTTTGTTTGTAAGAAAACCTTGCCGATTCTTTTTGCATATTTGTTGAACTAAATCGCTCCTAAACATGGCGAAATCGCAACACAAATTGACCTTGATAATCAACTACCGTCACGCATTGCGCGCTTGAAAGCTAAAAGGGAAAATGTCTATTTTATTCCTCGTGATACATATAGATGGTGTTATCACTGGTTGAATTTTCACCATGCACCCATCAAACATAATTTCATTTACGCAACCTGCCTAGCCTCACAGCCAAAGGGCGCTACGTTTTCTTAAAGTCTGACTGACCGAACAACAGTCCAAAATACAGCATTGCATGCGTATGAGTAGTGATATGCGCCTGCATTCTATAACATTGTGAAATAATCTAAAGCCATTCGTAATAATTATTCTGTAGTCATACCTGTGACAACAATTTTCACATCACATTGTATCTTAAAACTTTTAGATTCGGTGGTGTGGGTGTATTGATAAACGATCGTGTAGTTACCGACAGGGAACTGTCCACGTGTGTGCCTCGTATTGTTTGGGTTTGGCGTTGTCGGGCAAGTAGGTTTAGGCTCCAACCAACTGACGGAAGCATTTGTTTGGCCGATATTCACTTTAACTTTTACTCTTTGTGCACCAGAACACTCACAAGCTTAACAAATTAAAAAATTCCTGATTCACTAAGCGGTTGAGTTGCTTGCACGCTTGTGATTTTATTCAATTTTGACAATATATTAGCGGGCGCATATTTTTATGCCAAACTTAATTAGTGTGGATCCGGGCAATTATTTCACGCGAAAATTTTCTTACTCCATTTTGCCTGTGAAATAAGACTCTTAGTGAAGTAATATTATTCTTTTTCTCAATTAGCTACAATATTCGGAAAAATAATTCATAGACATGCATACCTGTACTTAAATTTGTGAAACTAGTATTAGACTGAAAAATGTCAAATGGAAGTCTTCAATAAGCAAAATTTGTGGGCCTCGTAAGCGTTTTTCTCGGTACATACTTAATATTTATAACTTACAATATTCGCTGCTCTCTAAGATGCCAATTTATTCTCTTAACATAGATTTGAACGAGTGTGTGTTAACTTTAAACTAATGTCCAAATTAAATTATGGCACTTCGTCAGATATACACCAGAGCTAGCTGTTTCCTCATTCACATCAAACAAGAGAGAAAAATGGCAAGTGTTGACGAGCCCTTAGAATACATGACAGGATATTATAGGTATAATAAAAGTTCAATTAATGCTTTAATGGCATAGTTTGAAGTCAATCATTTCTATTTTGGCGACCCACACACCAGCCCCCTCGAAAAAGAAATTGAAAAAGCCATTTCTAAGGTTGTCACATGCCTTGCAGTTAGCAGAATCTATAAAAGTCCAAGTTTAAATATATAAGCTATATAACTCCCCCCATGCATTGTAGCTAAAATCGTGTCCTGATCTGCAAATCAAGAGATAACAATATTCCTACATGAACTGATGAAAATGAATAAAAAGAGATCTTACGATTATGGGGATAATGTGATTCGTGTAAGATTTATAACTATTTAAAGAGCTATGCCTGGTGGTGACATGCGGAATGAATCACGTACCAAAACATGTCTTTCCATCTCCAATGTATCCTTTGTGGCATCTGCACTCATACTTCCCTAGCTCTATGTCAGTGCAAGTTGCTAATGTTGGATGGCAGTCTTCTCTTTTCGTTCCACAAACTGAAAGTACAGAAAACATATGAATTTATCTGTTATTGAAACGAATAAATCAACCAGCGGCGCAGATTTGTATGGATTGAGCACATTTCTGTAACTTTCAACACACAATTGTCACGGCATTATTTTTTCCCATGATGGCATCAAAAAGATATTCCTGCATGGAAAGCTAAATAACTCCCCTTTCTTGCTATGTAAAAATTAAACCTTTAGATTCATGGCAAGTGAATTTCGCGTTTCAATTTTTTTTTATACCCTCTATATCCATAAACAAATATCTCGGCTAAATACTATTTCTTTATAGGAGGAATGCCAGTCATTATCCCCGTGTATTTATTTATATACCCGGTTCTAACATCTTTATATTCATTCTATTCCTACGTTGAAATTAGTTTTTACATGTTAATTTCTTTAGTGCTTAGCTATTTTTGCAACGTTTAAACACGAAATCACAATACCTGAACAAAATCTAAGGGGGCTGTCATTCACTTGAATTACTAAATCAGTATAACTTGTGGGGAAGATTGCATTTGCGTCAGACCTGACCATGTCTCGGATTTCTTGTTTAGCTTCATCTATATGCAATCCTACACCGACTGCAAATACTTCCATATTTCTGTCAAAGAAGGGTTTTATAGCCTCTTTCACGGGAACATAATCCCTTCCTTTTGTTTGCTCTCCATCTGTTATCACCATAAGTATATGTTTTACGTCATCGTCATCTCGATATCCACCAGTTTTTTGAACCACGTATCTGTCAGCTAACTCTAGGCCTAAATGTGTATTTGTACGCCCGCCTGGTAAAGGTCCTTCCATAGCGTCCACCGCTTTATCGAATGCTCCTGGTGTTGCGCTTTCACTTAGTAAGATCTCAATTTCTGCAATTTCGCTAAAGGTAACTATAGCGCCTTGACCTATTACGTCACCTGCATCATTTCTTACACCGATATTTAGTTTACTTGCCACATATTTTACGAATCTTTGCATTTGTCGATAATCACCATCGGCAATGCTCCCAGATCTGTCCAGCACAAAAACTATGTCAATTTTTTCTTGACATTTCGATGCATCTAAAATAAAGCTGACTATCATTGAAGAATGTAAGGCTGGAATTTCACTCGCAGAGCAATAGTTCGCAGAGCTATTTCTTCAGAATTTTAACAGCATAAATAAGTCATTTCAACATGACTGTTCTCAATTCAAAAGACTTCCGCTTTTATTAACTCCCGGTCAAACTGGTTCAGTTTTGAAAAATTCCATCGTTCATCACATTGACACGTTCAAACAACGCATTTTTACGTCAAAAATGATTAATGGCAAAAACAATTAATGGCAAAGATAATTATCGAAAAAAATATCATTTTTGCATTTTTCAAAAATGTGGCATTGTAGAATTTTTTTATATTTTGCTAATTGTTAGTTTTTCTTCCAAGTAAAGTAATGCACGAAAAAAAATTGGAGGTCACCTTGCTTTTTTTCCAACTGTCCGAAGCAATTGGTCATTTTGGAGTGTATTCTGTACACGTATGTCGTCATAGCAACGGACGATCTGTTACTAAAACTAATACGATTCAAAAGTAGAGACATCGAAAGATATAAAAACCTCGATATCTCTGGAATAAATCATGAAAATGCGTGGTTTGAACGTGTCAAAGTGACGAATGATGGGATTTTTGAAAACTGTCTCGAGCCACCTTAATTACCTTGAATTTCTAAATTCTATAGTATCATGGAATGGGTATGAAAAATGGGTAGCTATCTTAAGTTTCGTGCGTCTGCCTTAACTGATCAAAGATTTACTGACTGAACTCTTATATGAATTTTTCATGTTATGTCACCCTAGCTTGAAAACAAGTTGTTAAACATACATTCAATTAATTAGACTGACAAAACAACCACAACCACATACCTCCCACAAAAATTCTTACATGACATTGGACACTAAATGCTTGGTTTTCGCTGCTGTGTGTATAGTTGTAGTATAGCGTGTAATTACCAACAGAGAGCAAATCAGCATTTCTTTTCGGATTTTCTGGACTTGGCGTCGTCGGACATCTTGGCTTAGGTTCTGACCAACTGACTAATGCTCTGTCCGGCGAATCTCCTTGAACTTGAGCATAAACTGTTTGATTGCATGGACAATGACAACCTAATACACAACGAATTGACTTTATAAGTTCACGGCAACAAGGTATAATAATAATCCATTGCAATTATCGCTACTCTGGTTTGATTAATGAAATTAATCACCACACAAATATTACATTCACGACCCATCGTTTAATTTCGACACTCTGGATGGTCTATTCTCTTCATCAGGGGATAAAAATACTAGCGTGCAGTGGTAAAAGAAAAAAATGCACATGGAGCTGAACGCTCTTCTTATGGAATTTGCTAACTTTCAAACAATTTTGTCATATATTTTAAAACGTAATATTTTGTATATAAATTTTGTCGTTTCGCACATTCCTCACACTGTGGAAACGACCCCCGTTGAAACGGGTGACGTTTGACGGGTCAACTGTGGTTGACGGAATATATATGAATTATTATAGTTAATGCAATCAAAGGTCTCAATGCGACGACTCACGGATGCACGAATAGCCGATTAATTGTTGGCTAGTAAACTAACCAGATAAACAATTTTTTAATACTGAGCGCGCAAAGCGGGTTGGTCGAGTTAATGACACTAAAGAATGCGAGACCGTTAGCAATGACTCCCTGATACTCCTAGGGAGTATCCGTGTGTCAAAAATGACAGATAGTTACTGTAAACTTCACTTACGGGCAACAGTGAAATTGACAAAACATTTGAATTCAACAATCTGGCCATTGCGTTTATGCGAGAATAAAAATGTGATCACGTGCTCGCCCAGCGAGAAAATCGCAGGGGAACTGACGTCAGGTGGATCGATCTGGCCACCTGCATATTCAGAGCACGTGACTTCGGGTACTGGCCAATGCACCAACCCATTGTTTTCGTTGCGCCCGACGTATGTAGTAAACTTGTAAATGTCGCCATCTCTACACTTACATTCTCCTGAAGAAATAATGTGTGTTTCATTTCACGAAAAAAGGGAGCAGTTATAAACACTGCGATACACAGAGTGGTTGTATAAAACTCGTTAACTACATTTTGGATGGTTAAAACCCATGCTGTTAATTTCAGGGGGTTAAATTAGCACCAAGACTGTAGTTGAATAAGCCCCAAATGGTGGCGTTAAATTAAAACTACTATTTTAATACCTAATATGGAGATTGTTTGACTCTAACATTTGGTAAAGGAGTCAATTCAGCACTACGATTATCTAACACAACTTTGGGGTAATTGAATTAGCACCCACACCAGGAAAACAGCACCAGAAAAAGTTTTACAATTTTAAGTGCTAAAACAGCACTATTCTGGAGTAAGTACACGAGGAGTGCTGGTGCGAAAACAGCAACAGAAAAAGTGTTTAAATTACAAGTGCTGAATAAGCACCATTTTTGAGTTAGAATATGAGGAGTGCTGCTTATAATTTGGTTCATTTTGATGAATCCTTTCAATATGGTTCAATAATCTTTGCATGGATTCGGCAACAAATTCGAAACAAATACCACAACGACATAGAAATCCATTTCAACTCCTTTTATGTTATCATGCTTATTGGGTGACAGGGTTGTGGGTTGTCAATGGTGAATTTTGACAAGAGAAACAATGGAAACAGACACTAGAGCCATTTATGCGAGGTCGCATCTTATGTTCTTACATTTTTTTATTGCTTTTGTTTTTTTATTAATAGAAATTCATTTAAAATAATTATAGTTCTCTTTAGCCTGTGGCACCGAAAAAAATGGCTTGTTTTGCCACTCCGCATGTTTTGTGTATAACTAACGTCTTATTTTTACTTACCTGGTGTCTCACACAAAGCATTAACTATTTGATTCACAACTTTGTCCAACTCTTCAAAGTTTGACTCAAACAGAAGCTCTGGTGACGACCAGCGCTCGACATACGGTTTCAACATTTTGATCTCATCTTCACTCCCGACCACTAAGCCAACAATAGTGATATTCCTCTTCTTTAGGATTCTGGTGTATTCATCTACTAGCTTTGTTTGATTTTCCGAGGCATTGTGAGATCCACCGATTAACAACAAAATAACATCCTCCACCTCTGGACGGAAATTTTTGGGACTGCTCACGTTAAAAACCTTTGAGAAAAAAGTTCAATACGTTAGATATAATATAATTTTGTCTGTGATTGAATTCGCAATAATATTACATTTTTTTATCCAGGTAAAAATACCAGATCTGACTTCGTGCGAGATACCATTGCTAACATCAAATGAACTTTATAGGAAGTTTGTGTTAATGAGATGTGTGATCGCTTGCATGTGAACTAATTTGGCACTGAAAAAATTTCATTCTTCGTTTGTAATCTTTAGTAACTCATTGCAAATTTTTTATTGCACATATGCTGTGTATTAACTAAACTTTGTTTCTTTAATATAACTCGATAAAAAGATTTTTTCTTTGAGCAATATAGATCACCATGCATGTTGTTTGAAGCGAACCCATTAAGCGATAATCTTTGACCCAAAAGTTATATCTTTCAAAATTTGATCCAAGATGACCGCTGTTTAGTTCATTTTTTCATATTTTAGCGTTTATTTACAAGAGAACGAAAAATAATGTAAGAAATTTGGTATTTTTCATACTACTTTAATCATGGTAACAGTATAGCAGTACTTCCCATCATCACTCTTTATTTACAAAGCTGATGATCATGAGCGGTCTTTAAAGGTCATTTTTTGGTAAAGCGCTGGCGCAAAATGGGAAAACTCATACACGTTATGCACCTAGCGCTAACGTGACTAGCCTAAAACATACAGGCAACGTCCTTTTTAATGGTCTTCATATCTTGTGAAAAACGTACCCTAATTTCAATGGCCCAATTTATAACCACACCAATTTTTCTAACACGCAGAGATAGGATTAACTTACATTCTTTGCAAGCTCAAGTTTTGTGAAAGAGTCATTCTCATAGTCAAAACTATCAAACCACTGGGTCAGCAATGTTTTGTTCTTGATTTCCCCAACTTTTAATAATTTTCTTGTTTGGTTGTCGTTGGAGAGGGTGATGAAACCAATTTGAGTGCCTTGTTCTTCCACGCACAGCTTTTCACTTCCGACAAAAGTCTTCAGGACTTTTTTAACAACGGAAAGGAATTCAGAGCTAGCAGGTATCGAATTGTACCAAAGAACCAGGATATCTTTTTTGCAGCCTGAAACATTGCGGCTATTTAGTGTGATGTGTGGCGTGATTAGAGTCAGTTTCATTTATCAATTTGGCGCATTTCTGGTTCCGAGTTTTAATTTCTGGTACGAAATTTTGAACAAAAATTTTCCCACATAGTATTTTGGCAACAAAATATTTTCGCGACAATGCAATGACTTTGGGAAAGAGAGTTATTTGTCTCTGCATAATAATATTATTCATTATAAGGTTGGTAGCAGTACTGTTATTGTCAAGTAACCATATCGAAGAAACAGGCCTTTTATATGGGAAAGGTTTTAGGGGAAATGTTTGCAAAGCAGCATCGAGTAAATTCAAATAACTAACTGCAATAATTATTGTCGAGTGGCTGATTACTGGCACACTGGACACTGTGGACAGTGTTATTTTTTCAGTATTACCTAAGGTTAAGATTGACCTTAAGGTTTCACACGATCAGAAACATACACACATCAGGAAAGTCTGGGGGATGTCCTATGCCCCGGGGCGAACTTTTGTATAGTGTTTGTATTTGATAGAAAAGCCAAAATACAAATGATACTATGAAGAGTATTCGCTATTCTGGAGGTAACAAAAAAAGGGAAGTAGTCCACGTTATACGACATTTTACTTTTGAAATTACTTTTGTTCATAGTCATAAGTTCATAACAGTTTTACCTGGTTCGTGGCCATTTTCCTCATCCATTTCTTCCGTCTCTAAACATGAAGAATAGAACTTGTCTACAATTAACATTAACCTAATACGATTTTTGAAACAAATAATGCATAAGTTAAGATTTTAAATCCACGACCGTGCATATAAATTACGACTAATACGTAATTAGAAATACGTGCATGCAGCCCCCCTGGCCATTTTCAACCATGAAAATTATCTCCCGGGCCTAGATTAGCTATAACTATAAGTTTATTTGATGGAATGACTCAATAGTTTTATCATTTGGTACAAAATATAGTCACAACATTGAAGGGGATGTCACCCGTTTTCTACAGGCATGATAGAGCCTATCCAACTTAGGTAACTGTTAAAATTTCAACATTTTGGGCTTCAGAAAAACATCAAAATAGTACAAAAGCTTTGATGTTGCAGCGACAGTTCACATTAAAATATACATTTACATTTTAAAAACCTTTTTGAATTTAAGGCGATTGTGTAAAAGCCTTTAATAGCCCAATAAAAATGACGGAACTTTGAAAATAACGTATCAAGCTCATATATACAGTACGGGGCAAAAGTTTGAGTCCAGTCGTTGTAGAATTCCAGTATTAAATCCTGGCAACGTATTCGAGTTAAGACATGCGTGCTAGTGTTTCAGTACTGTAAACCATATCAATTGAACACTGTTTTGGTCCTAATGATCTAAATTATAACAAAGTAAATTCTCATTCCTTTACACTGCCCAAGATGGGTGGGAAAAGGTGCAAAGTGATGGTACACAAGGACTAATAGTTGCATTAAGTATTGAAGGATTCTTTCCTCGTAAGATCGCAGAAAAAGTGAGAATTTGAAAAGCTGGTATGAAACTAACCTTGGAGAGGTTCGAAGAAACTAAATCCTACACAAGCAAACTTTTAGCTGCTTCGGTCATGCTGGGTTTGGCAATATTGAAAGATATAATGGGATCCTAATTAAAGAAAAGTATCATCCAATTCTTCAAGGACATGAAATTTCATCTGGTACAAAGATGATCGCGCGTCTAATTACATGATAATCACCTTAAACACATGCCCATATTTTATGTGCCATAAATCTGTTGGAAGCAAACTCGTTCTGGTGATCTCGTTCTCATGGTTTCTACCTCAAGTTCCAGATCTAAAACTTATGGAGCACTTGTTGGACCGTTTTAACCGGAAAAAGGCGAGGCACAGACCCACCAGCGAGGACGACTTGACGCAAGTGGTCAACGAATACTGGCAAGGTATTGAACGTGCGACATTAAAAAACCTATGGAATCTATGCCAGCGAGAATAAAGGCCGTTTCAAGAGCAAAAAAGAGGGATACTAAGCATTGACAGGTAATGCATGTTTGCACATTAACATACGTTAAATGAATATCATAACATCTCATAGTTGTTGTGCACCAAGTATTTTTCAGTTTACTTATTTACTTTTTTCTATTTCACTTATCGGTAAGGTTTTCTGTAGAAAATTAACATATGCTGCTAAAGCAATGAAATACAGTTACTGGACTCAAACTTTAGCCTCCTACTGTAAATAAACTGCATCCTTCTTCATATACAGTATAGCAAACACAGAATATTATAAACAACTATGTATATATGCTATAAATAGACACGTGCACATTAAAAAAAATTTCAAAGCTTTATATTAAGCATAAATCGTTCCTTTTTTAATCTTGAAGAGCAACCCTTTTTGTTTTTAGTAAATATTTCTTGATAATTTTCATTGGATTTGCTTTTATTTTTCCCATTTTATTTGGTGTAATTTTTAAAAGCATTTATATGAAAAAGCTCGCAAATTACCGGGTGTAATTCCTAATCTCCGGGCGGAATTAATACCCTCGCACTGTGCTCCGCACCGGCTGGAGGGAAATTGTAAATTTGTTATTGAGTAAACCAAGCTTACCATTATCACAAGAGCGAACATAGATTAATATGCTGCACGTCAGATTTTCCCCTCCATACAGTTTAAAGATATTCTTGATTTTAGTCAAACCAATAGGAAATCTGTGCGGTGATTTTACATTTGGTTCAACTTGCTGATGATTGATTTGAAACTTTTGCGAACATGAAATATTTGGTTTGGTCCACGACAATGAGTCTGACGTGTTACTGTACGTAATGCGGTCTATTTCTCTCTCTCGGAAATTACAAACACACTCACGCCCTAACAAGAAAATGAATTCTTTTAGGTGTTTGATGCTCCACGAGAACTAGAACTGTGGATCGTATGTCTTGGTATCATGCATGCACAGACGACCAACACAGGCATGCAGCAACCAACCATGACAGCTAGGGCACACATGGTACTGTGCTGTGGAGAGGGGTAAAAACTTCTTTAAAAGTTTGGTCTATTTTGTCAATTCTGTCGTCTGACGTAACAGTCATGTATATTTTATTTCCGTTTTCTAAATTGAACTTGTTTAACTGGCACCATAGCTGCGTTTCATGACCACTTTAAGAAATTTTGAAATAATCCGCCTAATTCAATCCACCCCGTACAGGTAGTGCAAAGTAATTCCGCTTAATTTACACTGATTCGAAAAATCAAAGATCAAGTTAAACCAGATTAACTGTGACCGTGTAAACGGGGGTAAATTATTGATAAAACGCGACTTGAAATGCATTGTTAGCATGCACTCTCTTTATTGGGCTTATCGTTCTATTGTGCTATAGGCGAATACAAATTCCGAAAAGTCTTATACGACTCAGTGAGTGTCAATTATATTTCGCCAAATTGATGTCAGATTGTCATTCATTTTTGAATGGAAAAATCTATCCAACTGAAAATAATATGAACGAAAAGAGAGGTTTTTTGTTGCCAAAAAACTCTGCCTTTACCTCTTCTACTCAGACTGTTTCTGGAGTTTGTGCATTTATATAGCTAGCTAAACCATGTAGTTTATGATGATTGATGGGAAACTGTATGGTTAATCTAAATAAATGGGCACGTTCTAGTTCACATAGTTAAGGTGGTTTAATCGTATCCATCAATGAAAATGTTCTAGAACAAAAATGGTAACTTCAACACAGTAGTATAGTAATAATAAAAGTCGATAGTGTATATATATATATATATAAAAGTCAATCAGCAGCACCTAAAGTCTTGCCATTTAATACCAAAAGCGATAGAAATCTTACCAATGATAGGGCACACATTTATGTAATTTTCATATCTGTCTTCGAGATAGTCAGCTGTCTCCTTACAACACGGAGATATGTTTATAGTGTCTTCCTGTAAACATTCTTTCTCCCATTCCTTTCTATCTTTGACGAATTCCGACCATCCTGTTCTACAAAACTCAGATTCCTCTTCTTTCTCTCCGAAAACAAGGTTTGCAGCAAAGTAAAACATTATTAAGGTCTGCAGAACTTCTTTACAATTGCCAAATATAATTGGTTTCTGTTGCCTTAGCTCGGCCCTCATCCTAATAAAGTATTATACTGAAGTGCAAATAGCTGGTATAATAATCAAACCGTCTAGTCTAATTACTGACTAATCTCAAGCAAAAATGTCCGCACGCACGGAAAATTTAAACTACAAAAATTAATGCTCTTCTCAAAGAAGCAATTTGAGTATGGACAACAAACAAAGCACTTGATAAGGACTGCCTTTCATGCACTTAGACGTTTTTCATACGCACGTAGCTATATACACCCACGCTAAAGTCTGAATCCTACATTATATATAATATAATAATTATTTGAAAAAGCTAGGTAAAAAAATCGAAAGAACTAGCATGTTTAGTATGCATAAAACAACCGACCTGGTGCAGCCGTCCTTCGATTCTATTGTATAGTGGAAAACAAGCGCACACTTTCCAGTTATATGATGACCACAAACTTTTGAGTATTTTTTTACATCATTTTACATAAAAACAATGCTACATGCATGCAGCATAATAATAAGTTTAATTCCTGCCTTAAGTAACAGCGAAGGTGCTTTTTATATATGACCGCTTAGTCTAATCGGTTCTAATCTTCAAACGGCGGGGAGCGGTGTCCGCGTTTACCAAGTGGCACTGAAGTTTATCACACCACTGCATGATTTTAAATTAAATGCATGCGCGCGTAAATGAGTTGTAAAATGTAAAATGAATTTAAATTCTCTGATGAACTATACTCATTTAGAAGCCTCGCAGTCAAATTAGTGCGACTAGTGCGGTGTGCAAACTCCAAAAGCCCTGGGCAACTCAAAGAGACGATTGTACGATCATCGTATTTGGATGCCACAGACTCAATATATATATTTACACACTATCAGAAACAACATAAGCCACAACCAGTAAAGGTAGATTTTACGAAATTTGCAAAGATCACCCTTTCTATAAACTTTTTTTCAATTTTTCTATCTCCCCGTGTTGGGTTGATATTCAAAAAGGGGGCGTTGAGGTACTGGGAATTAAATTCTGCAGACTATCCTTGGATAAAAACTGCGAATTATAAATTGCCTAGAAAATTTCGAAATCAAAATTATGATTGTCTAATACTATACTTCGTGCTATACTACACAGCATGCACACTACCGTACTTACCTGTAAATGGCCGGGAACAACGATTATCTTTGACGAAAAAAGGATCAACAATCTTCAGCTTTCTGGGTGGAACGACGGACTAACATTCAAAGCGTTTTCGTTGACTGAGTTTCCCAGCTGACTTCTCAAGGTTTTTGTCTATTGTGGACTATATAGGTTGCGATTGACATATACTCGATAGTCGATATTGTGACGACACCTCGTTTTGAAAGCTCTTCCGTGGACTGAGCTGCCCAGCTGATTTCTCAGTCGGTTTGCCTATTGTTGTCTAAGTTGTGACTTTTTTAAACTATAACTCAACTATCCTCATTGTATGTTGCTCCTGTGCATGCGCCATTCCAAAAAATACTGTTTTATTTAGCTAATTCTGACACTAATTTTATATAGTTGTAAAGCCATCTCCCACTTTTTTATTATGTGATCGGCTACATGCATGCCGTTCTTCTGCTTTAATACATAACAAACGCAAATTACAAACAGTCCTGATCAGTTGTCTACGTTGCAACGATGCATCGTAGTATATACATATATTTATATATATATAAATATATGTATATACTATATGTATATACATATATTTATATATATATATATATATATATATATATATATATATATATATATATATATATATATATATATATATATATATATATATATATATATATATATATATTATATCATATCATTAGTATATATATACAGTCGTTCATTAAGTCCATGTCAATGTATATACAAATATATAAATATCAATCACGTGACCATTAAACATGGCTTATTTTGCTCACTCACCTCTTGTTTCTTTATTATTATTAATATAATTTACCTTACTATGACATTTAAGAATTTTTCACGATAGATTTCCAACGATTTCCCACAAAATTAACGTATGCAGTACAATCACGTGATCGATATTTAGGTATTTGTATATATTTTCAGCTGACAACCTTATTGATAACGACAGATATATATATATATATATATATATATAATATATTATATATATTATATATATATTATACATATATATATATATATATATATATATATATATATATATAT